AAAGGAATACCAAAATATTTGGATTCTGGAGTCCATCTTCGTTGTTGATAACATAATGCTGAGAGATTGATATTTTTGTTTATATATTGAGGAATTTAGTGTCTTGTAGTGGATGACATCGATCAGAACAGTGTATTAGGTGCATATAATTCCATCGTGACTACACTTTCTGACATTTGTGTTATGCTCACAGCTTTTGGTGAAAGATTTATTAGCATATTTGTTTTCGTTGTGCAAAGGCCTGAGCATTAACCAGAATTTATGCTCTGCACAGTTTCAGCATGTTAGCATATTAGTGTTCACTTTCTTTTGCACCCTCATATTCCTCTTGCCAGCCAAATCTATTTTATGCATGGCACATATTATTTGCACATTATCCAGTAAGTGAGTCAAAATTATTTATATTTAGTTATAAACATACATTTATGTTATGTATTATACCAGATATGGATGGTGTACATGTTCTTTAAAAAACAAATATGTTCTTGTAGACCAACTATATTCCTTCATCTTCCTTTGATTTGGAAGTTTCTTAGTCTCTCCAAATTTTGTACAGAGCTGAATCATATCAGTAAATACAGTTATGTTGGTAATAATTTGGAATGGCATTTGTGAATATGTATTTTTGTGAAGATTATCACACTGTTGTGATTAGATTTACTAGTAACAGTTATATATAAATGCCTATTTTATTATGTTCATGTAAAACCATTTCTCAAGATATAGGAAGCAAATACAGACTGAGGTATTGCACAGAGAAACATAAATATTTAGTAAAGAGAGTTCCCATTTAAGAAGATATAGCTGTTGGAAAGATGTTTTTACATGTTAATTTATATGCAATGAGAATAATACTGCTGCTTGAATATCATTGGGAATGATCTAAATATAAAATTTAGAGTTTTTTATTCTATTGTTTTATGAATTAGAATGACTTGCATTTTTGTTACATAGTATAAGACACAACTCTTGGTGGGGAGTGTAAGGATGTGAGCAACAGCTCAGATTATGTTAAATCATTTCCCCAGCAAATGATCACCTCAATGTCAACTTAAATTTAATGAATAGATGGGGGTGATTCAGATTGGTATTTATGGTTTCCAGAGACTCACTGCATTACTAGTAAAAGATGTTTGCATTTGGAAATGAATTACATGAGACATACTATTAGTGACATTAGTAAGGGAGTCCAGAGTTCTTTCTTAAGAAGAGATTTCTCACCAGGAGTGTTTGGAGTGTTTGTTATAGTACTATTTGTCATGCTTGGTCATGGGCATTTTATCATATGTTGCATTTTACAAGCAGTCCTTCAGGGTTTTTGGGAGTGTTACAACCTGCCATGAGTGTGGGGCATTTTGCTTTAGGTACTGAGACAAGTTAAACCCATTGGATATGGGTGCTTCATGGCAATCACATTGCCCAAAATACAGGCATTAGGCTTTTGTAAACAGCCATCCTGCTGGGTGTGTAGCTTGTAGGTCAGCTGCACATGAAAACTTGTTTGCTGAGACAAGACTCCCTTTTATGATGTTATATTCTCTTTTTATACATAAGCATATTTAGCTTTTTTGTCATTTTCCAGTGTCAGTATTTGTCATTTGATTTTCCTTTATCCTGATGGTAATAGTGTTTTCCTTGGTCAAACTCTATATCATCTGTCTAGGTAGTCTATAATAACAATAAGTAACTTTTTTTCCCATAAAATTAAATTTTCTGTATACAACCTGTGGTGCCAATCACAGTGGCCAGGAATAAATACTGAGCATGAAAATGGCATTCACCCTGGAGCCAGTCATCTTTGAATCATGGCTTATGGATGCTACATTTCACACTCATTTATCAAGGGAGATAATTTAAAAGCTCCTTTCTAAATGCCAAATAAGTCCAATCATCCTTCAATGGGGAGTCTTTCCTGTCACCCTGGCCTACATCCGAAATGCTCTCGACAGCAAGTTCTCATCACCTGGCCCACAAATTTTCCTGTGATGGGATGTTCACGTCACCCACCCCTCAAGCTAAATATTTCAATGATGTGATGGTCACGTCATCTGGATCGAAAGGGTTATCATAATGGGATAAGTAGTCAATAAAATATTTTTCTAGTATTATTGTCTACATCAAATAAAATCATAATAACATAGTTCATAACATGTTTATATATTTCCAAGTGTATGGTAGTGTCCTGCTAAGTATGACAAGCACTCTGTCTGCACACCAGGATGTTTTACTGTTTTTTGCTGAATACAGCAATTGTAATTTAGGCAAAGAATAATGATGTTTTAGGCACTATTACCAACTGTTAAGAAATGTTATAAAAAGGTGTGAAATGATAGATAACAACATATGAGGTAGAATATTTTCTTTTGTTATAACATTCCCCTGGCTGAGAATTTTTGAGAAAGCACTTTCCTGAAGTAAATTGTTTTTGAATAGTTAATCACCTATATATGTAAACAGTATGATAACACTGATTGAAGGAGAGAGTTTATATTATACTTGCAGAGTGCACTGGATTAGAATGAAGAGTTTGGAAAAAGAAACAAACAAACAAACTGTTTTTTAGTATAAGATGATATATTTTTTTAACAAGTAGTAAGTGCCATTGTTTAAACAGAAGAAAATTACCATTTAATCTTTTATACAAAAAATCATAATCATACTTTCTATTACCTATGCTACCCATGTTAATAAAATGAAAAATGAGATATTACAATAGTATAGTTTTTTGTGACATTTATAAATGTGGGAAGAAGCTCAGAATCAAAAATCAACTTTGGGTGTTATATGAAGTCAGTATTATCAGTAATCAGATGAACTGCTTTTTAAGGTAGTCTCACAGAATTTCTCAAAGAATTTATAAAGTGGAATACATCAGAAAATGTGTGTCTAAATTCTTCATACATGTGATGAACAGAAATTTGATGTATAAGTGTATTCCCGTTTGTATTTTCTACTTTTTTACTTTATAAGATTGAGATCAACTCTTCATTATGTTACAGGTTCCCAGAGCTAATGAAATTGGTGAATAAGGTCTTGGTTGTAGGCTCTAATTGACAACTAATTTGATTTTCTGTTTGTTTTTTGTTTTTATAAAATACAGAATTATGTTTGATGTTTCCTTGGCAGTTGTGTTGTGTTAGAAAATAGTGATTGATTTGTAGTGTAGGATATTATGTTTAGTGTTTGGTTGTTTGTGTTGTTAATTGATATTAGTTCATACCAGTCCCTGTCCCAAAGTACCATATTTTTGTTGGGTTCATGAAATTCATGTCCTTTAATATGCAGAATTTGTTTCTCTATGAATGCAATGTACATTTGTTATGCTTCTTGAATCTTCCATGTGTCCTCAATTCTCTTGATTGGAAAATAATTTCATTGATTCAGTCAGTGAATGATTAATATAATTTTTCCCCTTTCTTATCAACATTAGCAGGATAGTTTTGATGAGAGCATAAAAGAAGAAAAGAAGCATTGGCAGTAGATCAGAATAAAAGAATTTCAGTTCGTAGATAATAATCATATTTGCTTCATGAGGACAATCTTATCACAGACATGCATGATTTAACATGTTAAGTTGTCATATTTGCATGTTCATGTATACATCACTTTTTTTTTTATTTAGTTGTGTGATTTGTTTTGTTTTTTTCTTTGGCTTGTGTTTTGTTTCAGAATCATTTGTCTGTCCCTACTGTAATTAATGCACGCTACCTCCATACATGTAAGGTTAGTAAAGTAATGTGATTTTAGTACACCCCTGTTAGCTTTTTGTATTTAGATTATTATTTTCATATTTTAATAGTATGATGCACTTAATACCCATAGTACTTTTTCTGTTGCATAGTTTGGTGCTTTTTTATCAGTTGTTAATATATGTCATTGTACACAATTTAGCATTAGGTGTTTGTGTTTTAGGGTGATCTCTAGGTCAATATTGTATTGTCTTTCAGTCTACCATTTTTCCATCCTTTAGCTTTTTTCTGTTGCCTTTTATTTTTTGTGCAATAATCTTTCAGAGGCATCATCATAAATCCAATTTCACTCTTCAATGCCACTGCTTACTTTGCCCCAGCTTGTTTTGCAAGCACTGCTATGCTCACACTGTTCGAGACTACCAGCTAATATCTTGCTGTTAATTACTATTTATCTTTGATTATCAACCCAGTTAGCATTGATGATTGCTTAAGATTCATATAATTTATATTAGTAAAATACATACATGTATGCAAAGATCAACCTTATAGCTGAAAGCTTAAGCTGACATGTCAGTGGATCCTGAGACCAAGATCAATGTTCACAGAGCAAGTTACACCTTTGAATTTATTAGAAGTAGAGAAACAACTAATGGGCACACATGTACACTTCAGATGCATATACATCATTATATATCAAAGAATAAGTGACAGATACAAGCAAATGTTCACCGGCATGTGTATATATACTGAAAAAATGACAGTTTTCATATAAAAAAACACAAATACTAAAAGAAGTTGACACAGATAAGGGCATTTAAGCACATAGGTGAGTATTATGGTAATTCAAGAACCATGCTTCAATTTTTATGAGTATACACTTATGATTTGAAACCACTTTGTACTTTTACACTTGTTTGTTAAATCCAGATTTTAAGCTCTCCATAAGTTTACACTATTTTTGTATGAGTTGAATGTCATAAAGAATAACCATTATATATTTGCAAGCAATATCGTTGCTTTCCTCTCTTGGTTAACCAGTTGGTGTTGGGTAGATGCACAGGCTACTGTTTAGGTATTTTTTTGACATATAGATGGCTCCACAAGTGCTTAATCACTAGAGTCAATTAGTAGGTCTTCCTAACCTAATATGATATCCAGATTTCCTGAATTTTCACTTTTTTTAATGCTGTTAACCCATTCGCCACACGTGGCAAGAATAGATGCCATACCCACTTTGATACACGTTTATTTATTGTATTTACACATAGATGGCTCTACAAGTTCGTAATCACCAAATAGCCAGTTATC